ATACAGTTGTGTGAAAAAGTGTTTGCCCCCTTCCTGATTTCTTATTTTTTTGCATGTTTGTCACACTTAAATGTTTCAGATCATCAAACTAATTTAAATATTAGACAAAGATAACACAAGTAAACACAAAATGCAGTTTTTAAATGAAGGTTTTTATTATTAAGGGGGAAAAAAAAACCAAACTTACATGGCCCTGTGTGAAAAACACTTTTTCACACAACTGTGTGTATATATATATATATATATATATATATATATATACACAGAAATAACATTTATTTTTACAATCAACACTTGAAATGATGAAGTCACTTGCAGATGACAAGGTAGTACAAAATGTAAACCATACTTTAATTTTTACCTCTTTACTTAAGATTCCATGAAACTTTTACAAAACATTTAGCAAAACAGTTGGGTAGATAATAACAATAATAAATATCAAACAAAATTTAAATCATACCCTCTAAACTAAAGAAGAAATCTGGTTTGAATTGATATATCAGTGCAGCTCTGAGTGAAGAATCGGACTATTTAAAAACAATGAAAAGGCCTCCATAGGGATGTATCATTATCAAAGTTAAGACAAGTTAATGCCCTCTAGGAGAGTAAAAATGAAGATGAAATTGATCTTTCTGTTATGCTCGAGTTCATAATGACCCTTCTTTGCATTTACCTTTTGAAGAGATGTGATCACAAGTGGCTAAAGTAAGAGCTGCTCTAGCGTGCATGAATGTTGCTTGGATGCCACATACTGTGTTTCACACCCATTGTTGTCTGATGATGAATAAGCCTCGGTGGTGTTTAAGTTGGAACTGAAGACGAGTGCATCCAGAAATAGCCACAGCAGCACCGGTGCACCTCTGTCAGCTGGAGATATGATGTAAATACATCTCCTGTGCAGTGTTTTCTCTTCTCGCTGCAGAAACTTCTTCTTCCTCACCTCACAAAGACTGAATCTCTCTTTCTTCTGCACTGTGATGCAAAGGAGGACCACAATGCTGCTCTGTTTGAGGCTCCGCACTACAGGAGATGTTGTTGTTGTGGGTATGTTTAGACTGGCGTTACAGCCAGTTAGGGGGTTAGTTAAAAGTCAAAGTTATTTTGTTTGTACACGGTAGATGTCCTTTGTGTTAAGAGGAACATTCTAGTGACATCACTGTCTTCTCAGCAGACTAGCGGCAGGTTGATTTAAGCCAGGCGTCTTAACGAACCAGCTGCTGCGGAGTCAGCAGGACTGCTCTGATCTCTCCGCTTGCTTTAATGGACACCTGACACAGTCTCCGCGTCACAGCGAGAGCCAAACGGACGCTGCCAGATTCATTAAAACGGGATGCAAATTGGCCGTTATTAATGTCTCGCAAGGCAATATAATTAATCATTCTCAGTCATTAGCTAATTAAGTCTGGTGTATCCTCACCAGCCTAGAATAACAGCAGCTTCAGCTGCAGATAGTAAGCTTTACTGCGAGTCTTTGTCCAGCGTCCGCTTGTCTCTGTTGTCTGTCGATGTGAGGAAATCAGCCTCCGCTTCGTGCCCACGGACTGTAAACTGTTTGCTATTATTTGGTAATGCATTAATCTGCAACGTTTTGATGATAACTCTCCTCTTCTTCACAGGCAAATCACAATTGAGGAAGGCGAACAGAGGGCCAAAGAGCTGAGCGTCATGTTCATAGAGACCAGCGCCAAGACGGGTTACAACGTCAAACAGGTGAGTTCACCTGTCTGATGATTACATCCGTCTTTAATAAAGAATCCCAGGCCATTCTGGTTGACTCGTGCAATTACAGAAATACCATCATAGATTATGGAAGTGTTTTTTCTTAATCATGCATGATTGGTGTCAGTACACTTCTACCTCAGTGCCTCCCGGATGGAAGAACAGCGTCTGAACCCCCCGTGGGGACCCGCTCACTAAAACATTACTCTATATGGCTGGTGGTCAAAACCTCCACAGGGTACCTTCTAAAGGTCCCTTGTTTTTCATACAAACACCTTACTCATAGTAGTATAGCAGTTTTTCTTCCATGCTGCCACTACTAGCATCTGACCAAGGCTGAGTTGTGCATGTATTCATTCATTTTAGTGACATTTAATTAATAGATGTTGAGAGAAATTAGTGGGTTCCAGATACAAAGGGAAACGGAGCCCGGTTCGACAGCAGCGGTTTGTCTCTGAGCAGATGTTTGTGGTCACAAACAACGACTGCCTGTTGAGTTAATAAGTAGCGAGAAGAAGGCGAGCTGTATTGTGTCAGTCAGTGAATGGTGTTGCTGGCAGGCGCCCCTCTCAGACAGAGGAGGCTATTCTTCACCTTACCTCTGACAGCCAAATGCCAGGATGGAGCAGAGTGGTGTGAAACCTTTTAAGACAAAGGTCACAGTGCTGCCTCCGAAGGCCGCGGCGTTCACGCTGTTTGGCTGTGTCAGCGCTATCCACTGAGATGAAGTGTCGGCATCAATGCCACTGGAAGATGTGTCAAATCATCACGTAAACATGACTTCATTTGTTGTGTTTCCCCGAAATTGAGATGATTGATGATTTTAGTTATTTTTAAATTCTTTGCAAAGACTGAATTTTACAATACAAATACCCAAAAGAGCAAAGGAACAGATGCTTAAGATACTGTTTGGTCCAAATGCGTGCATGCTTGATTAAAAACAGTGATATAAGCCATTCATGTATATACATATATTAATGTGAAGCAGGGACCTTTGATTTGAATGTAGTTATCTGACAAGCACATATGATGATACTTCTATTTGTTTGTCCAACGGTGCTGTCCTTTTGTCTGTTAAGCTGGGATTTCTTCAGGTTTATGATTATGATTTCAAACAAGTCGATGAAGCTGATCATTCTCCAGGATGGTATCTTGACCATGAGAGGAAACCAAAATTGCAACTGTTTGTGTTAATCGTATAAAAGTGAACATGGGCTGAGACTTGACACTCGCTCTGTGTCATGTTAGAGTCACAGTATTCAAGACATTCTTTTATTTTTTTGTCAAGTAACTTTGTAAATGAGTCAGCCCTCTCATGTTTATGGGATTAACCAAATCTAAAGCGAGCTCATATCCAACTCAAATGAATAATAGTAAATGGCTGCATGGAAATTAGAAAACAAATGTATGGATATTATCTGGATCGCTGCATATTATCTTCACCTTACATGAGAATAACATGCCCTCATTCTGTGTCTGTCTTTCCAGCTGTTCCGGCGTGTGGCCGCTGCTCTTCCGGGAATGGAAAGTATGCAAGAAACAAGCAAAGAAGGAAGTATCCTTTGACCCATTTCATGAAAATGTCTTTTTTTCATGAAACCTATTTTAATAATAATATTCCAACCGCTTAAGCTCAGAGGAAACATTTTCTCATTTAAGTCTTTCATGTGATAGCATCAGTGCCCAATTAAATGTGATTGTACCACGGCACTCTTGCTAACTGGTTTAGCGTTGCGGGTAGGCAGGTTGGCTCAGTTAAGCCAGCGGCAGGAGCCTCGGTGTCCTGCCATCTGTCCGTGGTGCTGCTGCAGACTGCTGACTGGCACCTCATATCTGCTGCTGTAATCTGAGCATGTCACTGCTCCACCTGTGGAAGATTAGTCAGTGGGTTGCAGCCTTTTTCACTCTCCTAACACACAACTCTAACATTCTCTTCTTCAGGAAGGAGCTTTTCACACTGCAAAATCATTTAAATATCACACAGTCATTGAGAGCATGTTGGATGGTTTTTCAGTCTTGGAGAATTCATTTGTTGTGATTACATTGAAGGAGCGATCTGACTCAAGAGTGTTCATATCTGATGTCAAAGGAGGTAAATACAGCAGCTGAGACCGATTTCAGCAGTCATTTTAATCAGTGACTTAAGAGAGCAGTCAGGCTGTGTTGGCTCCTCCCCCGCATTGAGTCCATCTGTAAATATATCAGACATGGGTAACAATAAAGCAACCTACACTTCACACTCATTTAGACTTTTGTAGTCTGCATTTTAAAGAGGCATTTCACACATAATATATCTGCACTCCACTTTGATTGGTTTGATTCTGGAAGAAAGCCCTTTAGACACTGGTTGGACCGTGTTTGGGTTAGAACCCCCCACAGTTCTGTATTTACTGTAATCTAAGCATTTAAAACTATTTCGATTTAGTTTCTTCTCGGTTTGGTTGTCTGTTGTCTCACTCGTAGCTCTGCCGTGACGCTGGAAGGGTCTGTCGTACTGGAGAGCATTTATGCTTTTGTTCGTTTACAGTTTCACTATGAACTTCACAATAGTTGTGCAGAACAAAATAAGCTTTGATAAGAAAAGTCCTCCATTTTGTGTGCATCGCCCTCCTCAAAGCAGCAAACCATGACTTTAAACGTCCGCTCTGTAGGGCTGATAACTGTAGGACACGGACTCGCATATCGCTCCAATATTAGCTGCTTCCTCCACATGTCAGCAGTAGTAGCATTATAAAATGCAGAATTAAACTGCACAACAGCTGCTAGTATAGACAACAAGGTCAGCAACGCCTGTAATCCGTCATCCATATTGAATTAACCTGGTAGTCGATCGATAATCGAGGCTAATGTTGTTTGTTTTCTTCCGGCGGCGTGACTGATCAGGGAAGGACACATCATGACGGCTAAGACTCAATCAAGTAACAAGGGTTCACATGGGTTGTCCTGTATCATCGTTTTCAAAGGTGCCCGTTTCTGCCCGTCCACACTACAACACAACGCCGGATTTTGGATAAAACTCCGGAGTAGTTTGGACACTAGGTGTAAACACAGCAAAAGATCATGTGGATGTAACCTGAGGCAAAAGAGAAAATCAATCAGCTAATGAAAAGAACCCAACAACACAGACCAACAGAGATGACCGCACTGTCTCACCAACACAGTTATCACCCAGCGACATAAATAAATGCCCCACTCCTACAGAGACCACTTAGATATTATATAAAACAGAGTGATATTCATGTTAAATCGCAGTAAAAAAATGATAAGACTTTTACAATGAGCTATATGGCTAGAAGAAAAGCTACACCGGATCATATCACGCACCACAGGCTGTAAAGTTGTTCCCATGCATGTTAAATCACTAGTGCAGGTCAGTCTATCCCCACCACATGGCTCACTATCTATACGTACATATACACCCCCCATAGGTCAGGTTTAATATCTGTACAGTTTTCTCCTTTAAATAAAAGACAAAAGCAGATATGTTGTTTTACAGTTGTGCAAGCCGGCCATCAGTCGTTTTTAAGATTTTCCAGAAAAAATGAAAAAAGGTCTGACCTCGTGTCCTCAGACACACAGACACACTGTGAGGGCTGTAGACAGGAAGAATAATGATGCTATGGAGCCAGTGAGGGATACAGTTCAGCCCTGTTTTTCTAGCCTATCTTTGTTTACATTTGGGGAAATTGTCATTATACTGAATTGTCTATTAGCAGATCAAATTTGGAGTATATCAATAAATTCGATCACTGGAATAATGTGATACTGAAGAAAACTTAACAACAGGACGAAGAGAGAAATCCTCATCCTATCTTTTCAACTTCACACTGAGCCGTATCCAATACTTCTGCTGTCGTCTAATGCAAATGCTACAGTCCCTGAAAGACGCCTTTTTCTTCTGTGCATACAGTAAATCAGCAGCATTTCAAGTCGTCGCTGTTTCTCCTCTGACAGCGCTAGTCCTTTCACATCCTCGTCAACACACAAAGTGAGGTGCCATCTCTATGGTAACTGTGGGTGAATTCTGAAATTGCCTTTTTTGTACTATGTGCATATAGCATTGTCATTACTCGTTCTCTATTAAGCCGTCTCGCCAGCACTGCAGCGTTCATCTGCTCCAACTCGAGCACAAATAGATGCTGACCTTGGTGAAGAGAAGGAATGCCTACATTTGTCTCCCCGAGCATCTCTGATTATCTCCCACTCATCATTTACTGGGAGCCGTCCAGCCTTTGCAAACTGCACGGCCTCGATAATAAACCCGGTAGCCTAACAGCCCTCTGAACTGTGGGGATGGCCCCTTTGCTTTTTTTTTGCAGTCTGACATATTTCCTGGCTATTATAATGCATCACTCACATCCAGCCAATTACCTTTATCTCGCTTCCGTTTTTTCCTTTTTTTGAATCTCTATCTTTAATGAGGCATAATGAATGTGGGGGAGAGCTGTGTGCGGTGGAGGTATGCTGATGGATGGCAGGTGATGACAGTTCCTCAGCAGCTCTGTGCCTCTGCTGTCATTGTCAGTTAATGGAGCAGCTCTTCTGTTGTTATTGCATTGCGAATAGTATTGATTTTACTGGGAGAAGCGCAGGAATGAGCTTGGAGCAGGATACATACATGTTATAGAGCCTGAACGAATAAAGCATGGAGCACCGGATATTTACATTCTACTCCCAGGGTCCTATTGACTCAGAGCAGCTGTCTGAGGTAAACCGTTGTATAGCCTCAGCGACTGTGAGCTATTTCATTGAGTTTCTTTCCAGTGAAACGCTCCGAGTGAATTTGAGTTACCTCTTGGAAACAGTTACACAGTGTATACGTCTAGGGCTTTTATTGTGAAAGGTATGAACGATGTAAGGCTCTGGGGAAAAAGTCTTTTCGGCCCAATGGCATCGCTATGTCATATTTGCTTCGAGGCTTGACGCTCTTGCGTCGAGGCCTGGTTGTTGTACACTAACACGTGTGTCTGTTCTGCATAACGTGATTGGTCGATACATTTATCACATTGCAAAAGCTCAGAAAAACTGACCTCATTCTGGAAAAAATCAAAGTTGCGAATTAATCACACGAAAAGAAAAAAATAACACCCCTGGTGTGTAAAGGCCATTAAGCAACGATGGACTGTAAAATACAGAAAGCAAACAAAAGTAACCAACAAAAGTGTGATTTAATGGAACACTTGGATACAAGAAAAGTTCACGTTTTCTCACCGTAGCTTCACTTGTTGTTTTTTGTCTTTTTTAAACAGGTCCTAGATTGAGTCGTTTTTCTAGGAAGTAATTACAGTGTACTCTGTGTTCCCTTAAATTGTCAGTTTGGGTCAGGCTGATTTATGGTGGATGTCGGGGCCTGTGGGGCACAGTCTTCTGCTCTCTGTCTGAGAACAATTTCCTGAAGGGTCACCGGGTATCATCACCACTGTGAGACCGCAGGGAGCGTGAAGAGGCTGCTTGACCCAGATCAGGTGCTGGGGTCATCCACGTTAATGAGAGAGAGCCAGAGAACAAAATGAGTCCCGCCAGGCTCATGGACATTAGAAGAAAGGCAGCAACTCTGTGATTTAGTTAATAGATTTTGTTTGGAAGGAGTTTTTATTATTCATATATATGTTTGCAGCTTGGTTGCGCTGCCCTCAAGTGGCTACAAAAATCAAATAATGTAGTTTTGATTTCCGGTTATTGAGGTTTCCTCTGGCTGCCAGACAATGTTCGGCATATGTTTATTGCAGCTGCAAGCCGCCCATCTATTGTTTAAAAGCCGTTACAAGCTATTAACTTCCTGAACAACTTGTCCACACAGCGACAATATGAAGCATATGCTACTACTGGTGGCACAGAAATGGGACTCATTACTCACTGTTCAGGAGATGCTGTATACTGTACCTGCACACAAACGCACACTGGTGTCAGAGGCCTGCTCTATTTGTCTACTCATTTGGTTTGTTAATGACGAGGCCTCTAGATTCCAGATGGGAGCCAATCCGAGTAGGAGTGCTCAAGTATACGTTTGCATTTAAAGACTGTCCTTCAAATGTCAGCACGCCGTGATGAAATGCTTCCTTAACATATGAGAACACACACATCAACCTGCTGCATTTAACAGCACCAGCCACTGCAGGACGGGCATTTGAAAAGCCCCAGTGGGACTGTTTCACACTCCCTGGCATACAATATGTAGGCCACAGTGTTCGTGGGCCCCGCTCCTTATACATGCATACATTTTACAAGAAAAGTGAATAATAAAGGTGCCGTGCGGCCACGCTCACCAGCTGTAGGATGATGGAAGCATGATACACTTCTTGTCTCCTTTAAAACAGAGCAGGTCTTTCCCCAAAATGTGTGAAAATACAAATGCTCTGGAGGATTGACTGGAAATATAACCTTTTCTGAATTGTGTAAAACAGCAACAGCTGCAGTCATTTTGACTTACAGCAACTCATTAACACACAATAGTTCATCAGCTTTAATTGTAGCACAGCAGTGCCAACGACATCCATTCTCATTATTACTGACAACAGAAAAGAGGATTTCCTATTTAGCTGAAGGACAAAGAAATCGATTCCTGATTATTGTTTTTTTACTCTTTTTTTTTTTTTTTGTAAATTTGTATTTATTGTTGTTTTCTTTGGTTAGAATTGTTGATGCCTTAAATATATCCATGGGGAAATAGCCCCATCTAGTGGTAGTAAAGTGGTACTTCGGTCCTCCATTAAGTCCTCCTCAGCTCTCTGAATGTAACATGATTGAATGATGACGTCGGCTTTTCCTCTCTGAAAATATTCATACCAGCTAATTGATCTGTTCAGGTGGATCAGGTGTGGCTGATCCAATGCCAAATGTTTCCACAGCTTCCTTAACGTTGTTCTCCAGTGATCGACATCAAGTTGGACAAACCGCAGGAGCCCCAGACTACTGAAGGTGGCTGTTCCTGTTAATACTCTGCACCGTCGTGGAACAAAAAACAAAACGTCATTCACGCCACATGCTTGTTATGTTGCTTCCTTTTGGTTAACCTGCAGTTGACTTTGCACGTTGAGAATCTGGCCTCATCACCTGACTATTGGTCGTCGGTTGGAACTAGCAATATGTGAATTTGGTTCTAAAAAGTAGTGTAGCCTACTTTGTTAATGAAACTGCCAAAAAAAAAAAAACAGAGAGACTGAGAAAAAGACAAAGATGTGTAAAAGAAGAACCCCAAGTTACAGATGTGGATACCATTTTTTTAAGTGGAAAAGGAAGTTTCCCCAGTTTCTTTTTTGTATTTTTGTATATTCAGGTAAATCTCTCTGGAAAGGTTGTTTTTTTTAAAAGATGCAAACAACTCAGCTCTGTATTTGAGGGCTTGATAAGAACAGATGGTTTTAGACTTATTTTTATGGATCCCACTCTTGTTATAGGCAAAAATAGAGGTCCGCCCCACATTATGACCCAAATGTTTGTCACGTGAAACTCTTATCTATCCCCTGACACAGCCATTCACACCAACACTTAACCGTCTCAAGGCGCATTACCGACACAGAACCACTTTTAATCTTAAGGGTTCTATATGATATTCAGAGCATTAATATAGCAGCAAACGACTTATCTACAGCATGTAGAGATATAGTGAAGTAATGTCTACCTGAGCAGAGAATGGAGTCACTCTCCCTCTGTGTGTTAAAATATGTGGTTCTATGTGCTTAGTTAACATAGTCGGGTTGTGCTTGTGCTACAACTGATAACGCCGTCCCGACCAACAGCGTCATAGCAGAAGCGTAGTATCTCCCCCCCCCCCCAGGTGGTTGCTTATGCTTGCACTGTTCGTGCTGTTAGCACCGTTAGCTGCCATCCTCCGGCCCAGCCGTCGCCGTGTTGAGCGCCGTGTGAAGGCAATAGGAATGCTCTGAAGAGGCAAATGTCTCCCCTTTGCAGTGTCCCTCAATGAGACCTTATTCTGCAAAAAATGATGTACAATGATCAAATACTTTTTTGATCCCGTTTGAATTGTGCCAAGAATTACACATATGATGTTTGTCAATTTAAAAGATCATTTTACACATCAAAAAAGTCGTAGCTTGTTGCAGTACCATTTAGTTTTGTGTAATAGCGCTCAGTAAACTACATCTCTGGTCTCCCACAACGGCCACCAACACAGCCATTACCTTGACTTGCTAGCTAGCTAGCTAACTTGGCTATATACTCGCATAGATGTAACGTTATCTTACTTCATGTGTTTTTATCCAGCGACTCTTTTTAACGGCTGGGAAGGGAAAGAACGAGCGAGACCCGTTGTTGGTGTGAGTACATCCTGGTGTGAAACACACAGGCGTGTAGCTTCAGCGAGAGACGTCACTAACGCCACTTTTGTGTGTGTCGTCTTTCTAATTACATATTTTCAAAGTCTTGTACCTCTAGACTTTAATGACGTTTTTAAACCGACAAACATCAAGTGTGCAATTCATGGCACAAGTCAAACAGGATTAAAAAGAATGATTTTTCTCTCGTTGAGTACCGTACGTATTATTCCTAAATAAGCTCCCATGGTGGTCCACCAAAATGTCCCCTCTCGGTAGAGAACCTTTAAGTCTAAAAAGCCTCATGTTTGAAGAGCCAATCACAGCTCTCCTGCCAATAACCCCTGTGGGATCCATACGTTTGCGTTCTGGTGGTTGAACAGGAACCTCTTGAGTATCTAATGCATGCCTGGTTTTTGAGCATAGGTACTGTCTAGTGTACACAAGTTTGAATATGTAAATGTAACATTACACCAGTGGCTTACTGCACTCTGATAGTGACTGTCTTTTTGTTTATGAGAACTGTCCAACTGGATTTGTATACTTGACTTCAAAATATCTCCTTGTTGTGCGTGTAAATGTGTGCTTTCCGTATAGGCAACGTTAGAATGCAGTCACATGGAGGGCCACTGCCAATCTGTTACATTCTCGCCACATTACGGCATCACGTAGGTCACCATTTGTTTGCATTATGTCATAGAACCCCCCCCCCCCCACCCACCCACCCATACTCCCACAGCTAAATGACGTCTGCCGTTGCATTGTGTGATATCTTGGTGGTTGTGATTACTGTAGTCTGCACATGCGCTGTACGTGAGCGATGGAGAATCAAAGCCCTCGCCTGGTGTCACAGAGGAACATGAACACAAAGTCCCCCGTGTGCTGGTCTGTAGACTTCAATGCTGGTTCTGGGATCAACACAGACCGCTAACATTTTAAAACTGTCCTGACAGAAGACCACTTTGCACTCGTAGGCCTTTTCAGGTTAATATGAAGTTATGAAAAGCTTCATTGTCGATGTACAGTCACTGAATTCAAGTCTGGTTGTCTCGTGACGTGTCCCCCACTGAGGTGAGGTTTTCTTTGCTGCTTGTGTTTAAACTGACTACTGACGTTGGCATTATGCAATGTTGTTTCATTATTTTATTTTTTAAAGCCAGGTATCGTAACATACACTGGTGGTGAAGTCAGCCATTGTTGTGAACACTACTTTGATTTGACTCGTCTCTGAAGTGAAATCTTAATGCACTTTTTGAAGAATATGTTTTAGTATTAGAGTGATAATGTAAGTCTTAGAAAATATGGCATGAAAAAAAACAAATCTTTATCTCCAGAACACGGTACTGTGTCTTAGAGTTAGACTCGAGCGTTTATGGATTGTTCACACGTGTCCAAAAAGGGGAGCACTCTTGTGAAAACTAGTGAGCCTTTCTAACACACATAATGAGCCAAATAATAATACTAAGAGACGGAGTTGGATCGAACCTCAAAGGGAGATATTGGCTGGAAAGCACTCTGGTGTGGGTTTGGGAGGGACAAAGACAGGTTGCATTTCAAGTTATAATCCCTCGAACTGAACGAATAAGTAATAACCTATCGACCCTCTGTGTTGCTGCCTATTAATTATCACCAAACAGGAATGTACTGCTCTCATTACCAACCACACAGCCTTGTAAGGAGAGCACTTTTTGAGAAATGACTCGATGGGTATTTATTTTTAAACGAGGACAAATGATTAATCAGTTGCTGTAGACGTTTCCTTTGTATTTGTTCCCCTTACATATTAAAGTAGAATCCCTTTTAGCATTCCCTTGAAATGGACTAACAAATGTCTTGGTGTGTCGTGTGGGGAGGGAGGGTATGGGGGTGAGCACTTGAGGATGGAGGCCATGGCCATTCCCTTGGGAGGTGTATGTTCTGCCACAGCTCTGCAGCGGACCTGATCAGTCCAGAGCTGGCTCTCCATTCACACTGTACAGAGATCTAGCATGTCTCTCCAAAATGATTAATAAAGATTTCTTATTACCAAAGTTGTGCACAATTCTCTTTTTTTCCTGAACTTTTAAGATAAGGCTATACCAAGCTGTGATTACTACTTGAATCTCTGAGTAATATCTACATTCTGTGATCATGTAAACATTTACAATTCAATCGTATGAAAGAAATATGAAGTTTGCTGCAGCAGAATGCGAGTTTAGCCGTGGACAGACACAGAGGTGCACGCTCACTCACTTATGGACGTACACACACACGCACATAGACACATACTATCGATCCTGGCGGAGATATTGGACACACTTGGAACATGATGGGTGGTGTCGATGAAGGGGTGCTTGAGTTCATCTGACAGGAATGTAGTGATACATAACACATAACCACTGGTGTAGTTACCAGTAATGAAGCAATAATTGTGTCAATGTTAAGTATTTTGTACACGTTGTAGCGTGCATGGTTTCTCTTGTGACATAACAAAATATACCCAATTTCTATCGATGACTAGAGGTAATTCCTGTTATTGGAATTACCTGCTTTATTGGCCAGGGCCGGATTAACCTGCATGGGGGCCCTGGGGCCGAAAACAAGCCGTTGGACGCAGTTTAGCAAAATGAAGTCCCACTTATAGGTTGGAAATTGCTTTAGTGGTCAATATTATCAAACAAATTTGCAATTAATCCCAAATTAACATGTGACAAATCTGCAAACGTTACCAAGTCCGTAATCCAACAGTTCTATCCTAGTCCCGCCTCAGATTTTGCAAACACACATTAGTACTGACGGTATTTGAGTTTATTCCACTCCAAAACACTTTGTGAAATACACATACTCAAAAAGGAATGTATTATTGATTTGTGTAATGGACAGTACTTTGGAAACTGTCTTGCGCCATGTTTGTTGCAAAGACTCCCCACTGGAATCCCTCCCGTGTGTTGCTGCGCCTGATCCGATAACCGACTCATTAGTCAGCCTGACCAGACCAACCTGCAGTGGTGGAATGTAACTCAGTACATTTACACAAATACTCTACTGAAGTACAATTTTGAGGTACTAGTACTTAATGAGAGCATTATTTTCATTTTGCACTATACATCTGCTCTACGTTTTAGAGGGAAACTTCACTTTCGTCACTTTGCAGATTCATATTTTATAAATCAAACATCTGACAGTTACAGGGACTACATTCATGTACTTTCAATACATTTCTCTTATTATACTTGTCTGCTTTTATTTAGGTCAGCTTTTGAATACACAAGCCTGATATGAAATTAAGTGTTTTTATATTGTAGTAAACGATCTGAGTACTTCTTCCACCACTGCCAACCCGCACTGGGAGTTGTTTCCTGTTCTGTCCCAACCTTTAATCCCAGTGATCAACACACATTGCGAAACTGAAACTGGTACTGTGCCACTTTCACAATCCCTCGTTGTTTTGTTTTGTTTGGTTTGCAGGGTTGCTGCTCTCCTGCTGCAGTCCACACTGCAGCTGTGACAGACAGCCCACACGGCTGATGCCAGTTCATTTACAAACTTGGACACAGCATCCGCGTCTGGCATCACGGAGGAGATGATGTCAGTCACTGGGATAATATTTAACCGTGGGAACACTTATATGGTACTGAGAGCGAAAAACAACACCCCGTCAATCAAAGTATGCATCTCACAGGCTTACAGTTGAGACAAACCTGTTACAACTAGCTGGCTACCAAACCAGTGTGACAACTAACGGATGTCTGGCTCCATCCAGTGCGTGTCTCCAAACAGGCAAATAACAATGACCTCGACACGACTGAGACGGCAAACACTGTAACACTTAGCGGTGACCTCGGGACTGGGATTTAAGTCTCTCTTCATCTCAGAATGGCGTTGGGCTGTATATTTTTGAACCATTTAGGTGCACATAAGGTGACACAAAAGAATAAATGAAAGTAATGATCCAGTATTTTAATATCTACCATGGTGGAAAACTTGCCAGATGCTCATTGAATGGTGTTTTTTAATCTCCTTTCATGGCTGAATGAGCCTTTTGTGACACGTCTTTGTTTACTTATCGAGCCCACAAAAGTAATAGTCACATTGTGCCACTCAGAAATCTCCTACTGGCTTCACTTTATTTCAGTCCCTTTAATACTTAATGTGTTCTAAATCATGTACACGGTAAAGTAGAGAATTGTCATGTCTTTGCTTTGAGCTCATGATTCTTTCATCTCCCAAAAGCCACATGGTATGATCAGCGTTAATTCGTAAATAAATAAAAAAAACAGAGAGGGAAATTCTTTCAAAAATACTTTTATTAAATACTTTGTCAACTAGCTGTCATAAATAGAAGAACAATAAGTTATATTCAATATTCAGCAGTGGATATGCAAAAGGGAACATCCTCAGGAGATCTGTTACGAGGGGGTCCCGGGGTGTGAGTCCCACTGGGACAGCTGAACCAAATCCCACAGCACCAGCTGGGAGAATTAAGCCTAGAATAAATAATGGGGAAGACGGGGCACTTTTGGCTGGGGACAAAACAATGTCTTAACAGGAACACAAATGGATTCTCGGTCCTAACGGCCACGAGTCGAGTCTTCTAGTGGCGTCTGCCATCATAGAATAGGAGGAGAACTGTCGCATCATCTTCGATCCGGCTCTTTTTTAAACAGTGTCTTCAGTTGAAAGCCTGCGCCACGATTTCATTTCCCTTCAAAAACAAAACAAAAACACAAACAAAAGAAACTATTAGTCCACACTTTCACTAAACGTCTCCTTGTTATTTCTGCCATTCACCACAAAGTCACAACTTACACATTACTGCCAGGGACAATCCTGTCTTGGTGTTGCTTTGTCAGACTGAACTTTCTGAAGAACGCAGGCAGCTTGAGCTTCGTTCTGGCAGATCTGGAGGAAGCACTGGAAAGTAAAAGTCCCCGAGTTAGACCGGATTTTTACTCCCACAACACAAAAGGAGGCATTGCAGAGCTGAGGTGCTAATGAGAAGCTTTGTGGACAAAATTGCAGCTTAACACTGATGTGTGTGTGTGTGGGTAGGTATGACTGGAATTTATCGAATCCAAGGTCCAGTTCTTAAAATCCTTCAACGCTTGTTCGAAAGAGATACTATTCTCAATTTCTGTTCTTTTTCACTCTTAAAGCACTTAAAAAAAACAAAGCTAAAATCATGGGCAAAAACAAGAGGTCATAAAGTTTTCAGTAGTTATAACTAGTAATGCAAGTGCCCCCCAAAAAAGGACCTACAATAACAGCAAACCAGTATGAGTTTCTACTCTTAATGTCCACTTATGTGTTTGTTTACACTGTCAAACCCACCATTCTGCCTGCAGCGAGGATTGTTGTTTAGCCTCCATCCCTTCCTCCTGAGCTACTTGTTTCCGTCCATCTTCCTCCTCCTCCTCCTCCTCCTCGGCTTCTGCGTCCACGTCCTCAGGTATCAGCTCCCACAGCTTGCTGTTGACCCACAGGGCTTCCTGCAGGCTGAGGCCGCGCCCTATGCAGGTCACTCGGCGACACAAAGGGCAGCCCACGGTGAGCAGCCCGTTCCTGGCCTGCGACATGGTCTCCAGGCACGGCTCGCAGAAGGTGTGTCTGCAGTGGAGCACCCGGGGGACCCTGTCCATCCGCGAGAAGGGCGACAGGCAGACGCTGCACTCGCCGTCCTCACACAGAACCATGGTGAAGCTGAGCCGGAGGACCGCAGAATGTGACGAGTTGACCGCAGGGCCCAGAGGTAGTTGAGCGGGTGATCTGGATCCGGTTAAGTCCCAAAGAAAACCACTCCACTATCTAGCAACTGATGATGAGGGCTTGTTGAAGTGGATGGTCCGTTCCCAGTTAGCTTCTCTATGTTAAATGAAAAATTGGTTTTGCAAATAGTTATTAGATGTGCTGCTTGATAAAAATAAAAATAAAAACTGATACACCTTTTCATAGCAGTAATATTTGAAGATTTTGATTTTGAGCTAAATTGAATTGAAAATACATCCTACTTCTTTTAATTTCCACAGATATCTCTCTGATAAGACTTAAATGATATTGGTATTTAGGACAAAATAAGTATATTTTGAGTCAAAACTGTTTGCTGCTTTAAAGAAAGGCGTTGAATAATACAAAATATGGCAAACCATAACATAAACCAGTATCCACTACTAAACATAAACAATTTAAAATAATGGTATTAAAAAATGTATATCAGTAAAGCTTACTTACAGTACACGTGAAGCCAGAACAGACTCAGCGCTCCTTCAGCCTTATTTGAGAATATTGTACCAGTGGAGTGTACAGCACAACAGCGCTGCAGTGAATGGAGAGACGGCTCGTCTGCCGCCTGTTAGGAGTGTCTGGTGTATTTGTGGGGGTGGAGAAAGAAGCGTCCCTCTCTTCTCACAAACCTCACCAGCACAACAGCTGGGGAAGCAGAGCGGTAGAGAGTCTCTTTTGTTTAGTGTTTAGTGTGAGGGAGGGCAGGTGGGGAAACGGGTGAGGGAAATTGAACGAGGCTTTGGAGGTAAACAGTGATGACTAACCTAGCTGGCTCGTCCCCTGTTGTAAATGTGGATGTGGTATATTATACAAATTTAAATGTTAGATTATGGGACAAACACAGGCTTCTCTAAAAACGAGGGCTCGTCCGGGATTTGAACCCGGGACCTCTCGCACCCAAAGCGAGAATCATACCCCTAGACCAACGAGCCACGCTTACCTTTCACAGATTACCAGCTATAGAAAACTAACGCGTCAACTACCGGTTTTAAATTATATTATAGATTTATTATGTTTGGATCCGTGCTGAGGCTTTCCTAGGCTCTAACGGTCAACTTACCCATTTTAAAGCGCATAACACCCATGCAAAGTTTCTCTTTGTATGGCGGTTATAACAGCTTACGTTAGGTTGTACCTGCTCTACCTGCTAAGTAACATTAACATTAAGGTAAAGCCCTCAGGGTTAACGTTGAAACAACATAACTCAGTCTCTTAATTCAGCCACACACAATACGGCTGCTATAAAACGGAATTATAACGTAGTGCATGTAGTTAAACTACAGCTGACGCTGTTAACCGGCTGCATATATTTGCTTTAGCACATAGCTAACGCTAGCTATTTATACACAGACAATATGGCAGCATTTGCCTGCAACCAACCAAAATATTAGGGCTCGTCCGGGATTTGAACCCGGGACCTCTCGCACCCGAAGCGAGAATCATACCCCTAGACCAACGAGCCACGTGTTCATTGAAAACAGAACTACACAATTTAATGGATCGACTACACTTACTGTACTATATAGTTCTGTAACGGATTGACTGTAATTTATAGCACTAGACACTTATTAATCGTATTAATATCAAAATGTTGGTTGTATTACATCAGGTGCACGGCCGAGGAGTTGAATTTACCTGGATGCAGAGCCCCATCTGACCAAAGGCTATTTTATACAATACAAAGAGCCGACACTTTGGACGTACAGCGTGCTGAGGTCACAGATTGGAGGCGGAGTTACCGCCTTCCATCAGGAAATCATTGAGTGTAGCTGTATGCACCGCTAGGTCAGTTGACTATGTAAAAAAAAAAGTAGTTAGGCGTACTCAAACTAGTTAACGGTAGCTACTAACGTGTGCTAACCACGTTAGAAAATTTAGTAGTGCTTACTGTACTTCAAGTTTGACTTTGCCACAATGTTGATGTAACGTTAGGTACCTAATTTCAAGTCACGCAACTCAGCTGTTGTCGCAGTTTGGTGCCACAGAGGTTGCTATGTTTGCTAACTTGAAGTTTTAAGTTCACTACAAGGCTTGCAAAACCGCTGACAGCCTCACTTCAACCATATGGAGCCTTCGTTGGGGTCTCTGCAGAATCCTGACCTGAGGTAACGTGACGTAAACTGTGGCTAAAGCCAGTGACACGCGTTAGCTGGTTACAGTGATGGCGACCTCTTGATCATGTGGTATTTTAACGGATCTAGCCAACATAACTGATTTGTTTTATATATTTGGTGTCTGTATTCCAGCTCTGTCCTGTCATCATGTGAGCCAGAGCTTCAGGAGCTGATGAGACAGATTGACATCATGATCAACCATCAGAAGAGGGAATGGGAGGCTGAGATTCAGGCCATGGAGCTCAGGCTGAAAAGTGGGGAAGAGGAGCTGTTTACTTCCAGGAATCTCATTGAACGGAGGGACCTGGAGGTGCAGTAGCAGTTGCATGTTCTTCAGTTAGCATGAAGAATATAACCTCCTGCTCACAGAGAGAGATCATTCATCTGTCTTACTATTGTCTTACTGCATGCCGCTTGTGTTACTAACTTGTGTCGTCATGTTGATGTTTTACCCACATTTTTACATCGTAGATCCGATTGCTCCACAAGCAGCTAGAAGAAGTCCAGCCTGGTCGACCAGAGTTGGTTAACAAGTACGAGGAGCAGCTGCAGAAGGTCCGGGAGGAGGTGAGACACTTGAATACAACGCTCAAACAGCCTGTCATGCAACTGATAAGTCGATTGTGGTATACGTTTTGTAAACATCTTTTCAGTTCCTCAACATGTCTTAACATTGCTAGTTTGCAGATCTGCAGAGTCACACTTTACTTTATTTCTTATGAACCGGTTAAACCTAACGAAATGTCAACAATCTTACTCCACATTACTGACCATAAGATGTCATTTAATATTGAGCGCTGTGAAGTCTAGTGACAAAACTGTGTTCTCATCCTATTATATATTTGACAATACAACTTTCAAGGCCTCTGACTAAAACTTGAATTTGAGAATCCTTTCTCACAAACAGTTTTTTTCCTGCAGTTAGAGAAATTAAAGAGAAGTTATCTCAAGCTTCAGCGCAAACAGCTCAAAGAGACCAGTGAAGGAGCAAATAGGAAAGAGGCAGACCGCTCAGAGGTGACCCGACTCAATGAAAAGATTGAGGTACCACATAAGTCCTTTCATTACCCTTTACTGCCATCTACTGGTTATGTGGAGTATAACTCTCCCTGTCTCTCCCCTGCAGGACTATCACCAGTGCTCTGTAGAATGGGAGCAGCAGCGCATCCAGCACCAAAAACAACTGACAACGCTGGAGGCCCAAAATAAGAGCCTGACGGATGAGCTCACACACATGAAAGTAAAAGCAAATTCATAACCATAACATGTAAATTCTGTCAAGTTTACTGTTGAAGCAAATGCAAACAGATGACCTTCTCACGTGTTCTCCGTCATTCCTGTTCCAGGCCCAGTGGGCGTTGTGGCAAAAGGAGAGGGAGCACAGGGGCTGCTGTTCAGAGGTGCAGCATGTGCGTACGCAGCTGGAGAAGGCTCAGGGCAGCATGCACTCACAGGAGCTCGAACTGGAACGCCTCCGACCGCTCGAGACGTGGCTGGGACAGTACCACAGAGAGCAGCAGGTAAGCACAACGGGAGGAACAAATGCAGGCAGTGGCAGAGTCAAGCTTGATGTCAGTCACCGATATCAAACCTGTTTAAAAACAATCTGGATCTGATGACTTCAAATGTATGATTTCATGTGACAACTGTCAACACAAACTGACTCAGACTGGATCAGACTTGGTCCCATCAGTCGCCACGCCCCAAATCAGATTCATGATCAGCTCAACGGTCATTGTCTGTGTCCCCTCTTGAAGGTGATCAGGGTGGGCCCAGAGGCCTGTAATGTTCGTGGCCCACCCTACCATCCCTGATTTACAAAGAGAGAGGGAGAGCTGAGTAACTCAGTGACACGTTTGGAGCAGTAGTCTGCTGTTTATTAAGAGCTGCTACAGAAGTCAAACTATATAGTTTGAATATATTTCTTTGTTATAAGGTTTCTCTTAGTCCAGTTTACATTTGGGTATAATTTATAGCAGCAGAACTTGGCGACAGACCCACAGTATGATATCAGCACAGAGGTGACTGAGACACAAGAGTGGGGCCTCAAAGCTGCACAATAGCTCAATAATTTATTAATGAGCTATTATTAATTAGTTATTTTTATATTATTTCTGACACACTGACCAGGGTCAGCATGTTGGACAGTGATCGTGACCAGCCTTGTGCATAATGTCCTAAAGATCCACCTGTGTAGTAGTTGACGATGGACTGTAGGCTGATCACAACTCCGAGATGGATTGGTATTTTTTCATGATACAATTATCAAGAGTCCCTCGATAAGCATCAAACTTTCCTGAAATACTACTATTGGTGTTAAGACATAGCCAAATTACTTTACACCGCTATCCCCTTGGAATTTAACAAAACTTTACTGTACTGTGAACTGTATACAGCAACTTGTGCAGGATTTCTTTTTTTTTTTTTCCACTTTCAGAGTTTATGATGTGTGTCTATAAGACTCCCTGCAGTTAAATCACTTTGTAGTGGAATGGCATAATGTGTAGAAGAATGTCACTCACAAAAGCTAACATTGATCTTGTTTCACCATAGATTGGTGCTGCAGTGTAGTAGTTACAAATATAACTCCACTGCTGTCTCACAGGTCCTTTCAGAGGAAAGGGAGGAACTCCACTCCACGCTGGACTCCCAAGATGCATCTGTGCGGAGAGCCAGTCTGGAATGCCAAAGGCTTCGTAACGAAGCTGCCAGACTCAGCCAAGCACTGCAAGCTAAAGATCAAGTCATTCGGTGGGTACATACTGTGTTTTCAGTCAGGGTGTAGTACAGCAGCAACACACGAGAGGGCAGTCTGTACTTACACTGTAGGTACAGTAGTGTCAGTACGATAGCTTCAATGCTCGTGTGCCGTATGAAACGAGTTATTAGAGAAGTCAATAAAGAGCCGTTGTTGTTTCCTCAGCTCTCTGGAGGACTGCCTGGCAGCTCAGGGCTGTGCTGGTGTGGAAAACCTCAGTCGAGATCTGCAGAGGACTGCAACCAGGCTCCGCTGCGCTGAAGCACGTGAGGCTCACCTCAAGGCCGAGCTGGCGTGTCACAAAGACGGGTGAATGCTGGCCTTTGTTAGGCGCCTGCATCACATGCGGTTGACACTTCTGTGTGTCTTTCTTCTATTGCGATATCAACATGTTTCCTTTTCATGTTTTTGTTGATATGCTCAGACCGGAGGAGAGCCGACAGACAGCCGAGGCACAACGCGACTCCGCTGTTGCCGACATGAAAAAGGTCAGAAATCTTCTCTAACTTGCGTACATCGTTGTGTGTAAAGCATACCCAACTAACACCCGATTTGTCACTTCTCTGGATTCCTCCCACAGATCAGAGAAGAGCTCCAGAGGGCCCAGCAGACCCACGACGGTGAGGTGGAGGGAATGAGGAAGGAGGTGTCGAAGCTGACTGCTGAGCTGCACCAACGCGACGCTGCCATCACCGCACTGAAGGGCTCCTCATCCAGCATCAGGCAGCAGCTCCGTGGCGAGGCGGAGCGAGCGGAGCAGAAGGCGGCCGAGCTCAAAGTAAGCAAATAAACAGGCGCAGCCCCGTGACGTCATAATGTTTATGGAAATCTGGCTCACAGCGAACACGAGACTCTTTCAGACAGAGGGACAGAATGTTTAACGTAAGCTTTTTGTCGTTCGGACATACTGTAGGTGTGCGTTCAGCTTTATGCAGACGTAAAGGTAGAAGGAGCTTTGGTGACTTGTCCACAAGATGGGAGTTCCTGAAAATAGACCTATATTATCTTATTAACTCCTTTTCCTCAAAGGGTTGAGGAGAACAACATCATGTATCTGTACAGGGGTTCAGTCAAATATGTTGGATTTCATCTTCCCCGACTTCCTCAGATGACTCAGGCACAGCTGGAGACCGTCCACACAGAGAACCACCATCTGAAGGGTCTGCTGCAGAGGCTGGAGTCTCAGTCACCAAAGGTTTGTCAGCTTTGACAGTAGTCTCAATTTTACAGACAGGCAGCAGACAAGGTTGAGTTTGGCTTCGGCGTTTGTTACTTAATCTGTCTCCTCTCACTCTGTGCCCTTTTAACTCTCTCCTCAGAGGGGAGATTCCTCGCTTGCATCCCTGAAGGAGAGCTATGTGTCGTCTCTGAGCAGCCTGGAACAAGAGAACCGGCAGCTAAGGCAGGCGATTGCAGAGATGCACGCCCGACTCGAGGTCTCCAACCAGACCTGTCAAGACAGATATGAACGAGCCCTGCTCAGCCACGCCACGACTGGTCAACCACAGCCTGCTCAGGACAGGTACCCGGCATAATCACAGACACACGTGCACAAAAGAAAACAAGAAATTGAACACTTATGCAACTTCTCGCTGTATTTGTAGCAATGAAGATACACAACATGGCAAACACAGGGAGGAGACGCAGAGAGAGTCCAGAGACAACATCATGTCCTCTCCCTCTCCAGTGGTGAGGCTCGTCACTACTAATAATAATCCACAGTTGCAGAGAAGGTACGGTTAAGAATCCTACAGCTGTGTGTTTGTCTTCCGTCTCAGGAGTCTCCGTCAGTGTCACCGGCGGACGGCATGGTCTCTCATTTCCTGGATAAAGAGAGCTTTCTGGCCAAGGATCTGGTCCAGAGACTGGACACCCACATCCAGGGTATGATGGACAGCAGCATCAGGATAGTGTCCAAGTACCTGCCAAGTGGCTCAGGGCCCGAGTCTGCCCAGGCTTCAGAGAAGAATGGTTAGTGATGGAGCAAGATGGAATGAATCTGAAAGAAAACGTGCCTTGAACAGCAGTGTGGAAGACTGCGCTCTTGTACGCGGCGGAGAATGACATTTGACCTCAATTGACTTAATTTAGAGACGTCTTTTCTTATTTCTACAGTTAACCCTTCACTAAGCCCCGCCCCCTCTGTTACTCTGTCAAGCTGTCAGAGCTACCATGGACTGTCACTAACTGCACTCCCTAAAGAAATATCTAATTTTAGGAAAAAAGAAAGCTAAAGCTACAGATCACAGTGTAAAAGTTAACCCCTACATCACCTGCAGACAGGGAATGACATTAAGGATCAACACTGGTCCTGTAAAGCTGGGTAGGTCTTTTTTCAGCGCAGCATAGAGGTCCAACCGCTAGTTAATGATGTGCTAACTGCTATTGTTAGCTCCACAAGGTTTGTTTTTTTTACTTAGAAATGTAACATTTTAAAAACGCACATCTCCTTCCAACTTCTCTGGTTAACAAGTATCACTTTGACACAACGTTTAACCGTGACTCGCTCCAAATAAACAACACCAGCCTGAAAATGAATACAATCTGAAACGATTGCCTGAGAGTCTATGTAGCAGAGACAGTTAGTTGTCAGAGCTGGCCGATGCTATGCTATGATTGACCATACTGCGTTCGAGGGCGGGACTTGGCGAAGGGTCAATTAAGTTCAGAATGGCAACGCAGAGCTTTAAGTTCACCTAAGAGCTTCATAGGAACTGTCAAAAGGAGCAATTGTGATTGAAACATTCCAGGCTGTACGGGGCTTTGGGCTACGGCCTCACACAACCTGGCCCATGCCATCCCCACTGTGAAGGTGCTGTTGCATGAGGTAACACACATGACCTAGTATTAGCTGATTAGCTCAGACTTTTTTTCTTATTCTGTTTATCATGCATTTCTTTAATCAGTGTTTCTCACTAGGGGAACGTTGATGTCGTGTCAAGTGTATCCAAAGGTTGACTGATTAAATCACCTCATGTCTTATTCAGCATGTCCTGTGCTTCCATAAGATGCAACAAAATCTGTGTTTGTAATCCAAAAAAGAGAACAGAAAGAGGAACAAACTAGACCACCATTGTACAGCACAGTGAATCTGTTAAAACAGTGTAATTGTAGGCTGGTAATGTTTTGCTTTGCTTTTCGCTGCCATTGTTTTTCATCAATTAATCTGCCAATATTTTTTGTGGATGAATTCCTTATTTGTTTGGTTTATAAAGCATCAGAAAATAGTTGATATTCAGTATACTATGAGAAGCTGAAAATCCTCCCTTACCTGTTATTTGACGGTGTAATGACTGAGACTGGAAAAGGGGGAAGAGAGATCGGCATAACGTACAACAAAGGTCCCAATGCTTGAATCAAACCCGGGACATTGTGGTAACGTGGCCTGCGCTGTGGGGAGGCTGTGATGTTGTTGCACACCTGTCTGCCACAGCTGGATTTTATTATACAACCATGGAGGAAATATGCCTCAGCTTTGCTTTCCACCGACTGAAACGAGCTTCAGGAATTCTTGACCGCTCGTATTTATGTGACCTCACATAACTGCTTGCTGAATTCCACCTGGATTACTTGTTGTGGAGGCTCCTTTCCCCTCTTCCCCGTAGGACGCTGCACATTCCAGTTCATCAACTTGCCTGGAGCGTTAATACAACTTCCATACAACATCCAGAGAAAAGAATGTTGCTGTGAGCCAAAGGAGCGCCCGTCCTCCCTGCACGCCTGTCTGTCATAACCGTGAAAATACCACATATGTGCATGTCTGTCCAGACGTCCCGGACAGCAGGGAGGGAGACGAGGCAGCGTTATGCTGTAGCTCTCCTCATTTTCCCCAGTCACTTGTCTCTCAAACCCCCCCAACACCACCACTGCCCGCCCTGCAGAGGCCCCCTGGCTAGTCAAGCGCAGGAATGCGTGCACCATGCCAATGCTGTCATGAACCTTCCCCTGCGGCCCGCTTTGTCCTCATCATTAGAAAAGCTTATGGAATGTTAATATCAACCATGTGGGGCGCTCCACCTCACAAACACTGAAAGGCCACAGAGGGAATAGCTCTATTTTACTGCTTCCCTAACGAAGGACATGCTGATAGAATGGAAATAAAGTGGTGGGGGGGGGGGGAACAAATCTGAAGAAATATGTTTTTCATTCTTTTGCCTGTCAAAGTTTTATGATGATGAATACAGACGTTCTGCTCAGCTGTCTCTGGGTCCAGTGAGTGACTTCTCACTTTGGTATTTGGTAGCCTGTGTTGCTAGCGCTGTAAGCCCCAACAAACAGCACAGAGGAATTTGCCATTCCTCTGGCTCTCTCTGGAGGGAGGTGAAGAAGGTTTTTATACGTGGAGATTCTTCGGAGGGGCCTCCTCAAAGGGAGGAGGAGTGAGGCAGATTCAGGCCCAGGGAGAGTTCGGACTGCGTTATTTACATAGTGATTTACAGGAAGAATTTGCTTAAGGCTACAAGATGATTGAGGAGTTGCTAAATTGAATAGTTTAATGAGTGGAATTGCGCGCGTGATTTTAAAGGGGCATTCCAGCAATTTAATATTGCACTTCCGTAACCTTGAAGGACTCGCCGGAGACATAATATCCAAAAGGAAATTGTTAAAAGGTGAAGCTGCCGAGGCCGAGATATTCGGACTAGTCTCAAGTACTGATTAAGCCCCCAAACCACTCAATCCTACATTTCCCATAAAGCAACTCATCAACATTTTTATACCTCAACTCTTCCAAGACAAGATTAGACTGATAACATCATCAAAGACCACTTTCACCATGTGGCCTTCTGTAGCAGCCGCTCAGTTAGAGTTAGAGTTACTTGGTTAAGTAAGGTAATGAGTGAGTCTGCGGAGCAAAACTCCGTCCACTGAGGAACACAAGACATGTGGCTGAAAGCTTCAGAAAACCCAAGTAAGTGGACCCTTCCAAAAGATTTTCTTGTTGAATTTTTAAAAATAATTTCACGGGGGGAAAAAATGCATCTTCTCCCTCTACCTCACTGGAAAATCCTTGAATATGTATGAATATGCATATGTTTTTGATTTCAGAAGTTTGAACTGCTCCATTCTCAGTGTACGTGCCCTGGAGGCTTCAAGTTTCCACATCACGCTTGTGTAAGTTGCATAGTGGACTGCCATCGGCTCCCTAACTACTCGTGCTTGTCTCACAATCAGGTTTGTATGTACACGTCTTTAACTCATATTTAAACAGAAAAACCCAGCTCAGTGTTGCCAACTCTTTTCCAAAGAAAGTAACTAGCAGCACTAGCTCCAAACATTGCAGGTAGCAAGAAAGCCAAGTCTTCATTCGGGCCGGATGAAATGATTGGACGAGCTTTGTACAGTCCTCTTTAGCCACAGATACCGGATTATTAACTTTTAGTCGGAGCATTTATATTATTGATTGCTGTCAGGATGTAAAGAGAATTTCAACAAATATAACAAACGTTTTTTGAGATTGCCGACCCCAGCTTGAAGGTGAACACAGAGACACTTTACCACTTCAGCAGATGAATGTGAAAACAGCCTTCTAGTGTCAAATTGCATGCACATCATTCTGTACGGTACGAGTCAAACATCCAAGTAAAGCATCAAGACGCAAAACCCCTTTTTGTCAGAGGAGGGCAGGTAAAGTTTAGCACGCAAATGTATTCAATGCCAATGAATAACGCCAAAAATTGCCCCAATAACTTCTTCCAATTTGTTTTTTAGGGGTGTGTGGGGGGGTGTATGTGCTGCCTGTTTGCGGTAGAGCAAACGGGCAGCAGAGGGGGCAATGTAAATCCTCTGTCACATTGTGGCCAATGGTAATGAACCTGCCAAGTCAGATACTCCTCAAACAGCCAGCGATACAGAGGCTGGTGTCTGTGTTCACAGATACTTTCCGTGCTCCCGTCATAAAACAGGAATGCCTCTACGGTCCAACACCGAGTGCCTCGTGTCACACACCATCTGAGGTTACGTGAAGCCAGATGAACAAATATGTGGGTTTTGTCAAACTTGGTGCACACTGCATGGGGAAACTTGGTCCACCTTATCAACACGTTTTTGAGGTATTTGTTTGAGGAACGTCCCTTATCTGTGAGATCACAACCTGTCAAGGGAGTAAAGAAGGAAGAATGAAGATGGACTGTTTGTGCAGAGGGCTCACAGGCGATGCAGCTTGGCGGGGATTTCCTGAAGTGGAGATTAATAAGCATGGGATGGAAAGAATACCTCTGATTAATAACCGATTAAAACCATTCTTTCCGTGAAAAGTGTCTCTTCAGTACGATTCGTGCGTGATGGACTTGTCCGCTCACAGCTTGTTGCACCGCTAAATGTCTCCTTCTGAATTGCTGAACATCCTTCACAAGATAAGACGACTGTTCCCAGGATTGTTTCACCCCGCGTGCATTCTTTTGTTGCACATTCCATGGTGGGGGGGGGCCCTTCAGAGACACATGCCCCTCGTGCTTCGCGTACGTCCGTGTCCCACTTCCAGCTCCAGGCCGGGTCCCATATACTTGACGGGAGCGTGTCATTGTTCTCCAGTCAGGGTGTGGTTGGGGGAGCGGGTGCAGACTGTGGTCGGCCGTTCGCTGCAGGACACTTGAAATGCTGCAGAGACGTTCTTATCGGTCCGCTCGGTGCTCGGAGCCGCAGGGAGCTGTGCCAGAGAGGAAAGGACTCGCTCCTCTGACACACAATGAGTGTGCATGCCCTCTAGTGCACCACTTAACGCTACGTGTTTGTTTGCACACCGTGCAAAGGTGGTCTTTTCCTAAAGTAAAAGTCGGACTACCATAACTTAGATGTGTTCTTTTTCAACAGACATTCTCAACACGCATCCAGTTCCAGAAGCTTTCAACCAAATCTCTTGGGCTTCCTCGGCCTGTGGAGTTTGATCAGTTGTTACGGTGATGATGTCACACGGTGATGATGTCACACGATGATGATGTCACACGATGCTTCACCTCCCTGTCTCCATCCTCCACCTCACTGACAAGATGTTGACAAATAGAAATAAATAAAACACTACTAGAATACTAGTTTAGCTCAAGTCGGCTTTACTTACAGAACACATTTAGTGTGTGTATAGAGAAGCTAAATATACATGGAGGTCACTAGAATATAAAACGGGTAATTGTGGAGTGTGATGCTGGGGCTGCTGCTGGTTGATGAGGCCTGTAGCTTATAGCAGCAGATGGCTAGCTGAGGCTGCTGGCTTGTCACCAAAAGTTGCAGGTGGGGCTGCATTTTAAAGAAAGCTGAAGGCAGAGACTGATGGCGGAGGCCGGACTACAAGAATGAAGGCAAAGACTCACTGACGAAGGCTGTGGCCGAACGCTGGTAAAGTCAAAAAGTATATTATTTAATGTATCCGTCATCCATTTATCTTTTTTCTGTTTGAAACACAGCGAGAGCTGGAGGTGGAAGCTGAGGCTGGCCGCCCAAGGCAGTACGCAGCAGCTGGTGATACAGCTGGTTGTCAATGGCTGTAAGTGGAGTCTGGTGAAGGCTTGAGGCTGGTTAAAGGCCACAGAGGGCAGCTGACCTAATGGAACCTGCGTACAGAGACTGGAAACCAAGTCAGATGTTGCTGGCTGGAAATAAGTCTGTACAGTACAAACATACTTCAGCAAGTCCTTCCAACACAGAGTGGTACATTTTCTGGTACTCCCCGGAGTCACCATGGATCTTCAGAGGTGCTCCTGGACATTAGGGCTCAGGACTGGGGATGAACCCGGGAGGGGGGGGGACCCGGGAATGACTCCCTCTATCTGCAGAGAGACAGCAGCACATGGTCGCTGATGCAGAGTGGTCAGATTGTGGGGCTGAATAGTGTCTTAGATAGTTGATTTGGTAAACAGAAATAGTGAATACTGAAGAAGTGAAGGATGTGGGACGCAGGGCTAGTTTTGATAAAAGCGAGTGTTTATCTGGTTTGTGCAGACCTCAATCCTGCTGATACTCCTCCTACAGTAGTAATGGGCCTCTATGTGAAGGAACTATTTTCTCTTCAATATTGACTTTTTCTTCGTTGAGCCTACAGGCCGACTGAACGAACCCTTTCAATCTATGGCTGTTCCCTTTAATATCACCTCAGAAAAAGATTGTGTCACATTTAAGCTAACTATCTGCTGGAAATAAAACAATGACTGAGAGCGAATGTCATATATGAGCAATATGTGGTAATTATGTTGGAGACTATCCCGTTCAGCAGTACTTCTGTTGCTTTTTTGCTGTAATCGAATTACTCTCATGCATAAAATAAAAGAAGGCGATACAGTCAAAGGTTGTCTAGCTATTTGATATTACAACATGATAAACGCACCTTACTGTCATGTGCTGTGAATCTGTATTTTTATGTATTTGTTATATACAATGTTTTATAATGTTATGCATGTATTAATTAAGGCTGGTACTCATAATTATTTCCTGATGAGAAATATTAAAGTCATTTCAGAGAAAAAGTGTAAGTACCGAGCCTTTGTCTAGCACTTTGTCTAAAAAGTCTGTTTGTATTGTTAATCACTGAAGTATCGTTTTTAATTGTTTTATAAAGTAAATAATGTAGAATATAGGCTACTTGATTATAAAATCTGTTTTAATGTGTTTCCTTCTTTGCTTCCATGGAATCAGTTTTGTTTTTGAATAAAATATATACAGCAACAAATTAACACACTGATGTGCTTCTTTTAATCTTTAGAGTGGTTTTTCCACAAAAATAAATTAAACATAAACATGATTATGTGAAATATAAAGTTCGATATTTATTCTTGAAGTAAAGGGATACAGGGCAGTTAGAAAACAATCAGGAGGCAACTTCCAGGTCTGAAATGGGAAGCCAATGCTGAAGTTCCTTTAACCTGCATTCTCTCTACTGACCAGCAGGGGGCGACTCCTCTGGTTGTATAGAAGTCTATGAGAAAATGACTTCTCTCTTGATTTATTACCTCAGTAAACATTGTAAACATGAGTTTATGGTCTCAATCTCTAGTTTCAAGTCTTCTTCAATACAGCATGATGTTCATTTAGTAAATTATGGTCCATTTAGAGCCAAATAGACCATAAAGCAGGGTATGATTTAGGGCGGGGCTACTGTGATTGACGGGTGCTGTCCAGTCTCGGGGGAGTTCGTGTTTTCGTCTAACAACTTTAACCCTTTCACTGTGTGTTTGCACTTCATGAAAGTTAATTGTAACTGTTTTAATCACCTA